CAAATAAAACTTTTAAGAATATTGGATCACCTCAATATTCAAGCTGATCCACATAATATCTTAAAATTACAATTTAGTTCTTTAGTATATTTATTAAAAATTATAGAAAATAACGACATAACCTTCTAAATATTAAAAGCGATAGTAAACGTTTTAAAGCGTACAAAAGAACTAAAAAAAACATTCATAAACATAAGCTTACTTATTAAGGTACAAGGTTTTTTTATAACGTTCTTCATCGTGGACAAAATAAAGGTATGCCCGAATTTTCTTTAACCGGGAGTTATTCGTTTTTTCAAACCCGCTACTACAAGCATATCAAAACGTTTAATAAGTTCATAGTCACTAGGTTCTTTAATATTTTTTTTCTCTTGCACGCTTAACTTTTGCTATGACTTCATTATATTGCAAAAATGAAAAACAAGCACTGTTACATTTTTGCGAGTGTCTGGTTTACCTTAATTTTTCACAGAAAATTTCTTCCGTAGTGAAAATACCGTACAGCACTTTTTACAACGATAACAAAACAATTACACATAACCACAAAAAACAAAGCGAATTAACGCCAGATGTCTGTCAACTTTGCCAACGTCTAGCCGAATTTAGTGTTATCCTTACATTGCCTATTATTCATCTTATCCATATTTTATAACATGCGGCAACCGCGCTAACAGTATCTTTCAAACTCACTGCCATCGTCCAGGGAATGTTAACATTCACTAGTAAAAGTTGGTATCAAAAATAGGTATTGAACTTTTACTGACGTATAGTCTTAGCAAATCAGTGAATGTGAGCTTTTACTAGTAATTGTTAACAATCACTGATTTCCAACTTTTACTGTAACATATACAAAGAATTTTATGACCGTGTATCTCCGAAAAGAAGCATTTCAGCACATACATTTATACAAACTTTTTTATTTGTTTATATCTGCAAAATATGCTGCTGAAGTTTCCCGAATACAATTCGAACCACCCTGTATAGTGTTCATATTTTACATTCAGTCATCAAATCACTTTAATTTGACAGACTCGTCTCTAATTAGACAGACATGTTCATCCACTGTTTATATGCGATAATACTGACCAGTAAATAAATTATTCATCAATTTCAGGATATAACTCATAAATGCCTGTATAACTTAAATTGTTATATTTTCCTGTAAAGTTTGTTTTAATTTTTTTAAGAAAATAAGAGTTAATTTATATGAAGCACGACTAAAATATATGATTCTTTTGAATTCCACAAAATTATGTAACTCTACATGATATATTTATGTAAATACACATAGATTAAGTGTCCCGGGAAAAGCTTTGTTTGAATAAACACGCGAGACATGTCATATGGAGAAAAGAGAACAATAATTGCGAAAGTCAAGAGTACCTTTGTTTAAACAACATTTAAAGAGAATAGTACTGAAAAAATAGTGCTAGATTTTTCAGAAAATGTTTTACAGAAACTTTCGGTACAACAAAAATAATTAAAGTAATATTTCTTCAGTATATTGGCATAAAGATAATATAAATAACTTGTCATAAACAGGGTAAGTCTTAAATAAGTGCAAATATTTTCAGGATGCCACGCCCTTTCTTAATCTGAAGTTCAATAAAACACAAGTTTACTTAATCGGTAATGAGTTGCATATATGCCACTAGCTTTTTAATTTTAACAGCCGGGTGGTCGGGATTCAAAGATATTAATAAAAGGGCGCCACGAGATTATACTCTATGAACTCGGCAATAAAGATGTAACTATTAAGTAGACTTCAACACTAACCTCGAACTGTTGAGTGCAACTAACATGATCTTCAAATATTCTATAACTATTTGTACTTAAGTGACTCTAAGTTAACTACGAGACTAGACTGTAAATAATACTACTAAAAATATTTAAGCAATTTATTAAAATATTAAAAGTTAAATAGGATATATAAAAAAAACCGAATAGAAAATGAAAAATGAATGTAAATGACTGAAAATGTAAGTTAAATCAGTATGTAAAACAATAAGAACTAAACCTAAGACGTCAAACCCCCTTAGCTAACTTATACTAGATACAGTCAGGGTGGTTTATAAATAGCAAATCTAAATCTAAACAGTCTTACTCTACTCGATGTGATATACTTGAAAACTTCCTCCGGTTGAGCTACGGCGTATAGCTACAGGGTTGCTAAGGCGGTGTACAGCAGCTCGGTGTACTGTCACTGGAGCCCACGGATGTCAGCAGAGGTACAGGTGAAAAGTAGGTGTTGAGATTTATACAAATCTCCCTCCAGGATATAGATAGAGAACTATATATCGTGACTAGTCCAACTCACAAAAAGGCATAAATAAAAAACGATGTTCTAGATTATTTTCACAGCCATCTTCGATAATCAATTTCAATGTCTGGTCAATGGTCAATGAACGAACTAAACTCACAAATTCCCACAATTAAAAGAACGAATTGCACACTGCGATCCACATCAAAAATAACCAATTTAACTACAAAATTTTATCTGATAATTATAAAATTTCAATAACCAAAACAAAGGATAAATAAATCCAAAAACATCTGATTTGATCTGACAGTGACAAGTGACGGACAAAAGTGATGGTCAAAGATATAGAGAGATGGACAAAAAGCCTACTACTGCTGGTGTGCTTGGTCCAGTGACAATATTGTGTATCTATAGCGCGGTGTATATCGGGTTGCATAATTGTAAAATTTAAATAAAATAATATTTAACAATAAAATTATAGTAAACAGCTAGATTTTTCAGAAAATGTTTTACAGAAACTTTCGGTACAACAAAAATAACTAAAGTAATATTTCTTCAGTATATTGGCATAAAGATAATATAAATAAATTGTCATAAACAGGGTATGTCTTAAATAAGTGCAAATATTTTCAGGACTAGTAGATCTCAATAAAAAAAAACATATTTTCTCTTTACCGTTTTCCAAATAAATCCAAAATAACCGAGTTATTTGACTTTGAAAGATTCCAAAAAAAAAAAAATTAGCTTAAATTTTTAGAACCACAAGATCTTTTCTGGGTTTTCTTTCTTGTAAATTTAATCTACTACTTATTATGTTGTCATATTATCAAGAAATTGTGTTTTTTTCGAAACTAAAAACTAAAAAAAATCTTTTTTTTTTCAAAAAATTCCAATATAGTTGCATTTAGATATTTTAAATAGTTCTTTTCGTTTGTTCTTTGTGTTTTTTTTGCCTCCGATGACGGAAAGAGATATACTTCCCAAGATGTTAAGCATTTTTTTTGTCCGTTAGGCAAATTTGTTTATTAGTAAACCATTGCTGACAATTAGTCTCCGTTTACAAAAAATAACTAATTTATTTTGCAGATTTTCTTACAGTGGCAAAATACCCATAAAACTTTTTTTAGAGACTTTATTAATATTTTACTATTTAAAGACTAAAATAAAGGAAGCTTTAATTCAAATATTTTCTAATTAAGAATGTATTAACATTTTAAATAGATGTATTAATTCATGTAATAAATTGTTTTAAGCCAGTGGTACGTACCTATATAAATAAAATTGAAAAAAAATCTAATATTCAAAAGTCAATAACCGGAATTGAATGTTCACAAGTTGAATTATATAATAAAATTTAATAGTATACTAGTAATTCTTTTAAGAGCGAGATGTTAATTGAGTTGTTAAAAATGTCGGTTGTCTCTCAACTACCTGTCAAATATCACGTATCAATAAATTGTTCAATTTCCTGGTTAAAAATTAGAAAAATATATAAGAATTTTTAAGGATAGTAGGAATAACAAACAAATGCATAGTACTAATAAAAATGCAGACAAAAAATACACACTTGACAGCTTCATTTGAAATAGATAAAAAAAAATCGTGTTACCATATTTCAGTTTCTTAATGATACTATTTCAATAAATACAACTCATATTTTACTAACCATTATTAAACTAAAAAATATATACGACATTATCGAAAAAAAAGTTTTAAGTTGGAAATCTAACGTATAATATTAGCACAGATTAAAACAGATTTATCAGTAAGACGGAAAAACGAAATAAGACAAGGATGCATTCGGTCCGAATACAAAGCGCATACGTATGATGAACCGCTACCATTTATCACTACAAATAAGCTGTGCCACAGATTAGGTATTTCAATTGGGAATACATTTTTTACAAAAGGCAACAATGCATTCGATAAAAAAACGTAAAAAGTCTGACAACACCATAACCCTATTAAAGATCCGAGATCAAGGCGGCGTTTATTAGCAAGATGAAATAAGTGCCACATCTGTAAGTTAATCTGTGGTATTAGTTTTCATTTGCCGATAATACTAACATACCGCTCTTTCAAACTTCAAAGTAGGGTTTTGGGGTGTATTTTGGTGAATTACTGTTTAATTTTGACAATGTACGTTAACCCACATAATTCTAAAAAATAAATGAGAATAATCTAGCACATACTAGTTACATTAGTTCCTGCACATTTTTTAAGTAAATCTCTTACCAATTATTGTTTTTTATTTAATTTAGTATAATTGTCAATCTTAGCATTAATGTACCAGTGCTAGAAGTCTGTATTATAATGAGGCCTATATACACTATACAGCTATATTTTTTATATATTTTATTGAAATTATGTTAATTTTTTCACGCCTACATAAATTCTGACCTACATTGACCAAAAACATCGTCGTTTATTGACATTCACAACGCAATTTCCACTAAAAAATTAAATAAACATAAATTATTATTAAAGAAAATTATTAGATGACAACAAAATCATATGGAAATTTTGAAACAATTTTTCATATTTTTTTTAATACCTATGCTCAAATATTGTTAGCTCATCGTCAATCTTTTTTTTACAAGAAACAATAGGAGTATATTAATAAAAAAACACACTGAAAACATTTGTTATAGAAAAAGATGTCTATCACATAAATAAAATACAGCATAATGAATTAACAAATTTATTAAATCCTGAAATTATATTCCTACCAGATGCTTACCTTTAATAATTGATGAAATACTCTGATAAAGGTCTATATAACGAAAATAATGAAACACTAACAATCCGGTTTTTACTTTAATCTGTCACTCGCGTGTCAGTTCTCGGTCCTTCATAAACGTCACAAACGTCAAAAGAGCGATACGTACCCGATCGTCTTAATATTGGTACTGAATCCGTAAGATGCTGCGAGATCCTACCTGAAACAGGTAGGTTTTGGTGGGTGATTACCCATGTCTTTCAGGTTTGTTTTGAACTTAGTTTTAATTTCTGTTGTGTTTGTCATGTTTTGATTAGTTTTATTATTAATTTAGTACCTATTTATTTCTTTAGTTATTTCTTTTTAATCATTAACTAAATAAATTAAATGTTTACTGTCACAAAAATTAAATTATATAAAAAATACATTTAGCTACTCCGTACGAATATCAATATTCTTAGGAAATCTAACCAGAAAATATGCATGTGGCTTAATATAAATAAAAGAACAACTGAATAGTTTACTTGCCTATGAAAAGATAATTCTGGTACCTTTATATTAGTATCTTCACACAATAAACACTTTCTAGTCATTTTTACGAGTATTTAGAAAGTCCAACGAAAAAAACTAGAAATATAGTTCCACAAGCTTAAAATTAACTTCTCACTGAACACACTTGCATCCTTGGCTAAATAAAAGCGGTCGATAAAAGAGTAATCAATACAATTTTTAAAATAAAAACGCAAAAAACAAGCGTCGTTACCCTCGTTACACACTGGAAACAAGCTTATGACATATGATTATGACAATATGATAACAATGAAAAGTTGGTTTCCATAACAATGTATAATTTGTACTTTCTAAACCGTATAAAATTGTGATTATTTTGGAAATACGTGCAACTTTAATGCGCATGCGCAATGTAAGGTCCTCGAGGAAGACAAACCTATTGAATGTTTCATAAGCCTAATAAGAAGGTTTGAAAATGGTTTGGTTTGGAGACATATTTTTTACTGCTAAACTTATGGCGTTGATTTATCCACGTAAGTATATATGGTCTAGGTATGTAATGTTGTTCGAACAAATCAAAGTTAGCATTCAGTTATTTAGTGTAAGTCTGCTGATGATATGATTCTCGAAAGACACTGTGAATCGCCTCCCCAGTGCATGGGTAAAGTTATGGTGGGCAAACGGTACCGAACACCGTATACCAAGAAGTAAACAATAGAGCGATCGCTGTTGTCCTGCAAGCGTCAGAATCTTAAGCAGGATCGGAGGAAATTTGAATATGCCCAGATGTAATTTGTATCGCCGGTTCATTCATCTGTTAAACGACATTTATACAAGTCAAGTCTGTTACATATAGGGTGGTTATTAAAATAAAAGAATAGAGTAGGTATTATGTTTAAATGTCTGGTAAAATTAGTCAAAGGAGAGGATACTTGACAGTGATAGTTATTGTCTGTCAATTTAATTCATTTTTCAAAACTTTCGTTTTTGAGATTTATCCTTTTAGTTCCAGAGATATTCATTACAGTTCAGAATTGGAACCTTTGGTGTTACAAAAGCAAAATAAAACACTAATTTATTACAATACACGAAAACACCTATTTAACTTTACACTGGTCGCGCGTTTTGCTAAACATGTTAGCATCATCAGCAGATATTTTGAGTTTTAATCATCTGCTGATGATGCTAACATGGTTAGAGAAATGCGCATCCAGTGCAAAAGTACAGTGTTTTCGTGTATAGTAGTGATAGTTTTGCTACTTCTTGCCCTTATGCAAGCTTCTATCCACGCTGGCAAGCTTCTTAATAAATTATCAACTTTGTGTAGGGGTATGTTTTCCCATCAACAGCATCAACAAGCTGTGCGACATTTCCTGGATTGTTTCGACGAGCTCTAACTCTTTTTTTGAGCTGGTCCCACAAGTGTTAGATGGGGTTTAGATCTCCTGAACATGCGGGTCAAACCAAAACTATGACACCTTCCGCTTCAAGGTATTCTCTAGCCGCTCTGCTGGTATGGGGAGGTGCATTATCGTGCATGAAGTTAAAATTATCCCCAGTTGCAGATCTCTAAAGCCTAACGATTGGTTCTAGCACTAAATCAACATACCACCGACCTGTTAAAGTTTATTGAAGTGGTAACAATGGAGTTTTTGCTCCCAGCATAATACAGATTTGGCAGTCTGGTCTAATCAAAGAACATTTTGTCAATTCTCAATTGTCCAGTTTTGATGTTAAAAGCACCAATTTAGCCGGTCAATTTTATTTTGCCGAGATAACTGTGGGACCCGTAACTCTCTCCTACTGTAAAGCCCTCGATAACGAATACTTTTTCTTATGGTTTCAATTGAAATGTTCACACCTACAGCTGCCAGAAGTTGTCCCACAAAGCAGCCTTGTTGTTCAGTTGTGATTTTTTGACGACATTGTCTGGGCCTGTTCATGAGAGTTCCTAGTTGCAAGTACCTTGCAAATGTTTTCGATTCAACACCCTGGGTAACGCCTACTATCTCTGCTACGTCTCTTTGGGGCATTCCTTGTTGAATGAGAGCAATAATTCTTCCCCTCTATACATCTGTTAATCCAATAAGCATTTTTAATTTTTTTGGATCGAATTAAAATTACCGGACAATCGTTATTTTACTACTGAACACAAAATTCACAAGGAAATAAATCGCAGCAGTTATTTATTCTGTACTATCATGTCTATTTACAACAAAAAGCCTTATCTTAAGTTGTATACCAATGTTTTTTCCGTGAAAAACGTTTAGTAGAGAGTATGTTACGGTTAAGGTCCGATATTCGGTTAATTTCGACATTACCCGGTTAATCTCGAGAATGACACACAACAAAACAACCAAAAACAAAACCAAACCCAAACATTAACCTGTTAATGTCGACATTAACCGGACATCGGACTTTAACCGTAACATGTATATCACTCATACTATAAAAGTACATTTACCGGACTTATCTAAAAGTCCCAATATAATACCGTAAATCTCTATTAAACTAATAAGTAATTAAACAGCACTTCAGCAGATTCTACCTGAGCATTCGCTCGTCCACAAAAACAATCCGCGGAATTTTTTAATAATTCCCAATTTTAATTAACCTCGAGCGTTTTGCCGCATGCCCAACTATTACCGAGACGGGGTATGCCCCCCGCTGGGCGCAACTCGATCTCCACCATGTCTTTCCCCCTTTTTTTTCTCTTATTTGGCGGGTAATTTTGACGGTGCCCGTTACGTTTTCGGCATCAGATCGTCGCAGCGATAATTTTTTTCCGCTCCCCGTTTAAATGGTGCAGGTTTTTGGCCGATTTTATGGTCTTCTTGTCGCCGGAATTTGGCGGATTCCGCGACGCGCGGTACGACTAGATTTATCGCCCTGTATTGTTGTTCGGCGCGCTTTTTAGGTTAGATGTTTTCCGTGGCGGTTTTTGGGGACAATTTACGTGACGCATCGTTCGTTGTTTTTTTTTTCGTATTTTTATCTATCATTAGTTTGATCTCCTTGGAGAAATAAGTAAACCTAAAAGATTTTTCAAATTATGATTATCGTTAGTACCCAGTAGTTAATATGCAGAAAAAAATCGTGGGTGTTTGGGTAGGCTCGAAAGAAAACAATTATGTTTTTTGCGACGTTTCGCGACTTTATTGTAGTTTCTTCGGGCACCAAAACATATATTAATCCAATTTTTACCCCCCAACCGAAGAATCATACTTCTTCAGCTAATGGTAAACTGCTGATCGACACATGGAACCAACCATTTTAAAAGGACCCAGTCCAGGAAAGTTTTCTCTTTACAATTCGGTTTTAATATATTCTTTTGATGAAAATAATGTCATTTAATTATTAATTTTTACCCCCCATCCGAGGAAACTTAATTCTTCAGCTAATGATAAACTGCTCTTGGACACATGGAACCATCCAGTTCAAAAGGACCCAGTGCTGGAAAGTTTTCTCGTTACAATTCGGTTTTAATATATTTTTTTAATGATAATAATGTTATTTAATAATTAATTTTTACCCCCCCAACCGAAGAAACATACTTCTTCAGCTAATGGTAAACTGCTGATGGACACATGGAACCATCCAGTTTAAAAGGACCCAGTCCAGGAAAGTTTCATCGTTACAATTCAGTTTTAATATATTCTTTTGATGATAATAATGCCATTTAATGATTAATTTTTACCCCCAATCGAAGAAACATACTTCTTCAGCTAATGGTAAACTGCTGTTGGACAAATGAAACCACCCAGTTTAAAAGGACCCAGTCCAGGAAAGCTTCCTCGTTACAATTCGGGTTTAATATATTCTAAAAAACATACTTCTTCAGCTAATGGTAAACTGCTGATGGACACATGGAACCATCCAGTTCAAAAGGACCCAGTCCAAGAAATTTTTCTCATTATACTTAGATTTTAAAATATTCTGTTGGTGATAATAATGTTATTTAATAATGAATTTATATCCCCCAACTTAAGAATCATACTTCTTCAGCTAATAGTAAACTGCTGATGGACCAAAGCCAACACTAAGACATATACAGACGAACGAACAGAAACTTGTGGTATTTTTTTGTCCGATGCACACCGATTCTAGGTTTATGTCGACTATATGTATGTATATGTATTATATATGTATATATAGTAGTATGTATACTACGACAAAAATCGGTTATCGATCCACATGGTGTGCATCGGGCAAAAAATACCTCAAGTTTCCGTTCGTTCGTCGGTATGTGTCTTACTGTTGGCGGTTAGAATCGCCATGATTGTTGTTAGGCATTTGGATTAATATATGTTTTGGTGCCTGAAGAAGCAACAATAAAGTCGCGAAACGTCGCAAAATAACATAATTGTTTTCTTTCGAGCCTTCCCAAACACCAACGATTTTTTTTCTGCGTATTTTTCAAATTATTTGTCCAACAACTATCACATTTTTGAAGTTCCGTACCGTCGCGTCGTCAATAAGATAAGTAAATCTATAATAACATAAAATTATTAAAATTTTTGATGGTGTGTGCATATAGCTATTAAAAAATAAACTATAGTTTGTGTTTGAATCTAAAAAATTATTACAAATCGCTTCAGTTCCTGATCCCAACAATAACAAGTAAATG